ACGTACTTGAACAAATGTTACTATAACTTGTTTCTCAACGGAAATGTCGAGAATTAAGTGCGGCGTCAGTCACTGTGGTCGGCCGATAAAAGTTCACCTTTTGGCGTTGATTTGTTCTGTATGTCCTAGTTTAAAGCGCGGTGGTCGTCGCGCAGCGCGTGTTCAAATTTTATGTAAATAAACAATGTATTTTACACGCGTTATATACGTCGCTATGAGCCCCATATCGAAGAGGACGCGGCACGACGACCGCCGCCCTTTAAGAAAATCATCGTCTCGTGACTGTTACGGCACATAAGCCCGTGAAGGCTTAATACATAGTGAGTGACTGCATGCTGATTTGACTATTTTATACGGTTGTCGCGAATTGAAGATTGTCGTTGCGAATACGTATAGCTGAATATCTGATTGATATGGAGTTGTCGGTACTTTGATCACCATGCCACGAGGCTATCGGAAGACTATTCAGAACACTTCTACTGTTTTTTTCGGTAAAGTGGTCTGGGTTCGATCTCACATACCTAGTACCATAACAAAGTTGCGGCATATAACCACATTCTAGGATGCCTCATTGAAAAAAAACAAAAGGCGTGGCACAAAAGACATTTATCGACCGCTAACATCGGCAGTTATAATTTCATTGTTACCCCAATATTAATTCAGAAATCGAACGAACTTTATTTTGGCGAAGTGCTAATCACAGAGAAGAGAGAAAGGCGGTTTGTCATATATAAATGTGTATCATTGAATCCCGATTGATCCCATACGTCAAACTGCGGATCCGGGTGTAGAAAGGAAAGATAAAATTCTGTATGCAAATCACACTCAATGGTGATGAAACTGATCAGAGTGCTCAGCAAAATTGCTCATTTAGAATGCATGAAGTATTATATTTGTTATATTGTATGCAATCATGAATAGCCATATAATACGATTTTGACCCGACACGACCCGATCCGAGCCGAGTGTATATTTGAACATAGTTGAGTTGCCCAAGTTGTTTGGTCACATATCAATATAAAAACTAGTACACGCCATATATGATCGATGAATAACTTTCGGAAAATACTGCCGATATATTTAACGATAATATTTTAACAAGATTATAATTCGCAGACAATCTATTTGACCAAATGCAGGTGGAACGAAAGGTCAATGTTCAATGAGGTACACCCAGAAACAGATTACAAGTTTTAGTATCTGACGGTTGGAACCCTAAAACAATGCATAATAGTACTACAGCGAGGAGCACAAAGCTGGGAATATGCATATAAACGTATTTATACAAAAAATGTAATACCGATCATCAAATATTTAATAGTGATTGGCTTAAGACAATGTCTGGTACACCCATAATGGGCGCACATGCATTCACATGACAGGCAAACTGTGACTGCCCACTTATTCAAAATGAGGTGTTTGCGGATTGGATATTGTTGAACTACTGTAACACATTTGTTAAAGGGCGGTGGTCGTCGCGCTTTGCATGCGCGAGATATGGATCTCATATGAACAAAGATGGCGACTTTGACTGTTGCGCAAACCAACGAGCACAAACTGGGACATTAACAAACTATAACTAGTATATTTCATTGGTGATTGAAGGTATCGAAGGAGTCACTGGGGACAATTTGTGCACATCGCACCAAGGTCAAAACTCATACTCGTTATTCCATTAGATAAGCGCATTGGATTGTGGCAAAATCATTGTTTATCAACACAAATGTCGCACATGGGCGGTGCGACGACCACCGCCCTTCAAACTTATGGCATAATAACTATTACTGGATTTTGATTTATAAAAATGTGTATTTATAAAGTGTTTATAACCCCCCCCCTCCCCAGCTTTCTACCCTTTAGATTGTATCAACAGAACGAACCCCCTCCATTTATTTCCTAAATTTCAATGGCAGCTGAACCCAACCAGCTAATCAGTGAACACAATACGCAATGACATACTTTGAAAATGTTATTCCATCAGCAAACAGAAACCTCTCATTTCAGTTTCAATTATGAAAATTAGAATTATGAAATTATAAATATTTATGACATTGAATGAAATTGGTTTTGTAATAAGTCTCAAATTTTTGTAAAATATTTGTTCACAGTAGAACAAATTGCCAAGTAGATTTTGCAAAGATTGACCATTCGGTTTTAATACATGTACAAAGTTGGACAGGACTGCATCCTTACAGGACTTGTCCACAGCCTCATGTCCTACATAAGCCATTTAGGCAAACAAATCCAGAATCACGATTAAAAAAAAAAAACATGTTTATTATTAGCTGGGATTTATTTTTGTGCAAACTAAATGTTGGGTATTGTGTTAAAATTCATTTTGAATGACTCTTCTGGTGAAACACACAACACAGTATTTTCACTTGAACTATTGCCCTAACTAAATAATGTAAATTTACTCTAAAAATAAGGGCCTCTAAATAAATAAGTCTTTATTTTGGAAGACATGTTTTATTGTATTCCACATTATAGATACAGATAATACATAGTTGGTAAACTAGTTGTATTTGTTGAATATCAGTTCAATTCTGTACACTGATTCCGACATGGCAGCTTTGTTGAATAGCACACAACACAAATCATCATTTTATACAGCGCCCTCTACAGGCAAACACCATGGTCTATTTGTTTTTATTTTATACATTATTCAGGAACATGAATGTCTTATCAGCAGTGTACTCAATTATTTACGTATTTTCAGTACCATGAAAATAAAATGGAAAGAAAACTCTAAACCAGATACAATTCAGATAAAATATGGTAATTACCAATAATTGATTGTGTTATAATTTTTGAGAATGTTTTTGTTTGATAACTTTGATGAAAAGAAAATATATTCTGTCTGAGCTTATTCACACTCACAATATTTGTCCTAATTTCACTACAAAAATGCAGGAAAGTTGATAATATAAGATATGTTCAGAACAAATAATTTGTTAAAATGCAATACGAATGAAAACATTTATGTTTTATTAATATTGTTTTTCCTTACTTCATTACTGTGGACCAAATCAGACATTGTACAGCACACTGCAAATAAATTATTCTTCAACATTAACATTATATTGAAAATGTCCCAGATGAAATTAAAAACCAAGCAAATAAAAATCTCATCTAAAATGAGTATGTAGCTGCACCAGGCTGGCTGAATATTAGTGGTTCTTCTTTCACTACATCTTGGCTTTGCTGTTGTACCGTCTCCGTCGTATCTTCATCTCTGTACAGAAACAAGAATAATGCGTGTCATGTCATTGTGCAGGTTATGAAAACATTATGTCGATAAATCTATGTCATTTAGCCTTTACATATTTTGAAATAACATTGTGCACTAGTTGTGTGATTGTGATGTGACATGTCAAAGAAACAGGAACATAAAAGATAAAATTAATCACTCATCAATTGGCATCAGTAACCCATTCCATGTATCAAGAGTTTTTTTCTATGTACATTTATTTTCAATGTACACCGGTATACCAAATTTGAAAAAAAAAACATCTATACACAACCACAATCCAGATTTGGAATGGCAGAAATGCTTGATTTTAAGTATAAAAATGACCGCCATTCAGCCATCTTAAATCAAATCATAAAACAAATGGTCATATGTGTAAAATTTGAATGTCAAGACATATCCAAAATATAGGTGGGTACACACCAACGCACACACGAATCCAAGGACATCAATTGATAAGATTTCCGATTTTGGACATTGATTTAATGAGAACTAAAACACTGCCAGTCAGAAAGGCAAACAGACACAAAGTGATTGGCAGAGCGCCAAATTAATAGCCACATTGTTTTGAGATTGGTCATAAATAATGAAATCACACACAGATTAAAATGGATAGATACAAAAAGGTTGGAGGTCACATGGTGTTATGATTTTATAGTTATTGCATGCATGAACAAATATGAAATATATAAAAATATTTATCAGAGTGCATACTGCACTGTGTTTTCTGATAAATGCCAATTTGAAAATATCTTTACAAGATTACTTTATAGTAATCCTGAGTTATCTACTTTATGAACATTCCAGTGATGTTAATACAGCAGATATGAATGATTTTTCAATTAGCAATAATTAATGATACTGACTTAATTACCAACTTCATTGATCTGTGCAATCAGTTATGATTAGTAAATACAAATAGAAATAGTACAAACTGTCAATCCCAACTTTACTGTAGAACTCTTTATATTGAATTTTATAGGAGCATCATATCAAACTACAGGAAAGCGGAGGTGAAAATGTTTGTCTACCTTGATCTTCAGTTAGAGCTAGTGAAGTCTGGTTAGTCCCAGTACCAATGTTAACTACCATAAGTAACCATTGTTAGCTAGTAACCAGTGAGTACTTAAATAGTGAATAATTTACCTACTTTGGCCCAGTGAAATGGCTAGTTAATGACTGCCAACACTTGTAATAGTCTTTGTCCACTTTGTGGCAGGTTTCATTGGCCCATTCTGTCAGTGACATACTGAGAGATGACTCAAACATAAAAGCCTGCAATAAAACAATGAATGATTAAGACACATAAACACACTGTTATTCTTATGATTAAATATGAAATTCACACATACACAACTGAGTTCTGGTTCCTAAATGACAGAAAAGTTTTTTTTGATAAAAAATGGAGTTCAATGTATGTCTAAACAAAATTTACAAATACACAATCAATCTTGCTCTGGAATGACAGAAATACTTAATTTTGATGAATTCTTATACTAAAATGCCACCATCAGCCATCTTGAATTGGATCACAAAAGAAAAGCACAAGATTTATGTCTGAAGTTTCAATCTGATCTGTCAAGGCATGTTCAAGACACAGGTGAGGTCCAATTACACATCATTGTTTTCAGACTGTATTTGTACTCTTTCAAAATGTTTCACCCAAATTGACAGAAATCAAAATCAAAAGGTTAACTATGCAATGCAAAGACTCACCATGGTGCCCTCAGCTATTTTCTGTGGCTTGGTGTTAAAGTCACTTGTTTCATCGCTACATTTAGTGAAACATTCATTGTCTGGTCCATGAGGTGTCATCATACTATGCATAGTGGCACCACCTGGCATAAAACCTTCCTCCTATAGAGTAAAAAATATGTTTCAGATATTTACATGTTAGCCAAGAATCCGAGGTTTGTATTCCATACAATATATGCCACTCTACCAATACCTAGGTACAATGCTAGTAATATCTCATTACCTATTCAGATTTATGCAAACATGACACACTATGGGATGTCATAAACATCTATGTGACATACCACTTGATATATGCCTAGGTACAATGCTAGTAATATCTCATTACCTATTCAGATTTATGCAAACATTACACACACTATGGGATGTCATAAACATCTATGTGACATTCCACTCACTATATGCCTAGGTACTATGCTAGTAATATCTCATTACCTATTCAGATTTATGCAAACATCACACAGTATGGGGAAGTCATAGGCTTCTGTGCAACATTTTACTCACTATGTGCATTTTGTACCTGGGTACGGTGATAGTAATATCTCATTACCTATTCAGATTCATGCAAACATCACACTATGGGATGTCAAAGACATGTATGCGACATTCCACTCACTATATGCCTAGGTACTATGCTAGTAATATCTCATTACCTATTCAGATTTATGCAAACATCACACTATGGGATGTCAAAGACATGTATGCAACATTCCACTCACTATATGCCTAGGTACTATGCTAGTAATATCTCATTACCTATTCAGATTTATGCAAACATCACACTATGGGATGTCAAAGACAGGTATGCGACATTCCACTCACTATATGCCTAGGTACTATGCTAGTAATATCTCATTACCTATTCAGATTTATGCAAACATCACACTATGGGATGTCAAAGACATGTATGCAACATTCCACTTTCTTTGCGCCTGGGCACTGTACTAGAAATATCCTATTACCTATGTACTATAAATGTGGCTGTTATCAACTTATACCACGTCAATCCTACGAATACGCAAAATAAATCTACACAGCATTTGTAAGTGTACATACTCCATTGCTGTCAGTGGAACAGTACATTTGCATAAACCAACTGTACGGTTTTTTTTATTAAGCTAAATTGTATCCCAACCACGTCCCTCATAGAGTAGGACTTATTATAGGTACTGACTACTATATGAAAGTCATTGTTCAATAATTGAGAAAGAACTCTCATTCACACTTAAAATTCCAAGAAGTGACACCTGGCCAATCACAAAGTCCAGAAATGTTGGTTATTATTAATCTTCATATCACAAAAACTGTGGATGAGACAAAGACCAAAAGACAATAGACATGGCCAGGACAATAGGTCACATGACCAAGAGTGATACTAGTATAACAAGTAGAAAACAACATATCCTATGCATGTTAGTGAAGTGGCTTACAGACCTTTAAAAATAAATTTCCATGCATTACAACTTTTTTTGAAACACCTTAAGACTGTTTCCATAGACTATCCAATATACTGTAAAATACCTTATTTTAGCTGGAATTTATTTTCACTGAAAATACTTTTTAGATGTGTTATATAGAATTTATTTTCACTGATTTTTGGAGAGTTGAATGTAAAAGATAGGAAAAAAGGTATATTCGCTGGATTTTATTTTCATTGAATCATTCCTTCAGCGAAAATAGCGAAAATTAATTCCAAGCGAAAATAAAGTATTCCACAGTACACACAAAACCACATCTCAAATAAGACATCTCTTAAATTTACCAGGTTATTGTAGTCTATTTGATGGATCTTACCTTAGCTTCGTATTTGCCTTTGATGAGTCCCATGAATTCACTCATACAGTTTCCTGAAACCAAACAGTAAACACAATGTTTATTCCACAGTCACATCATAGATGATTAGAATAATTTCATCTTCTCTGTAAAAAGTTCACATTCACATACAATATACGGTACCATAAAATATTTTATTATAGTTGGATTTAATTTTCCCTGAAAATACATTTTTTCAGCAAAAATAAATTCCAAGTGAAAATAATGTACTTTACAGTTCATATTTACATACTTAAAAATGCACATACTTTACCAGTTAAAATATGTATGTACCTAATAAATACAGGTATTTTTAAGGACAAATAAATTATGAAAAAAACTGAGATTATCTGCAAATTTCATAAATTTTATCTCAAATTTACTAAAACCATTAGAAGGTACACTTTTTCAGAGGTGAGATCAAAGGTCAGTTAATTTTGTTAACCAAGCAATTTGACAGTAAACAGTTGACTTGGAGCTTTACCTCTCGACATTGAATAAAGATGACAGAGATTTCACATGGCTTTAAAGTAGAAGTAAGCCTACTCAAGTTGGTTATAAATCCCATGATTATGTTAATTGGTTTATTATGTACAACCATGATAAAGAGTAACTTGTGACCTCGAACTTTTTAAAATATAAGAATATAGAATTAAATATAGTATAAATCATTGCAAAATTGATAAATTCTGTGGATTTTCATTCATGAGTAATCTTTTTAATCTTGTAATCAGACTTACTATGGTAATACGGAGGTCTGAAGGTGTGTTCCTGAACAGCCCATCTTGGTGGAAAGATCACAAAGTCAGCAATGGCTACTCCAGGTTTCAGTGATTGACAGGTCAATACAGTGAAAATAGATGGATCCTACAAATGCATATTCATTAGGCAGAAGGTCAAAGGTCAATAATGCAAATATAGAATATTAAAAACACAAATCCAAGCCTAATGCTGGTATGCACCTTGTGTAACCACAACATTGGTGATCCAATTTCCTAATACTCAATGTTGTTCTGACATGCAAATGTTAATACCGTATTTACTCTATTACAAGAGCATCTCCAAAAGTAGCGTACTTAACACATCACCCACTGATACCATTTTTATACTATTCAAATTTTAATACCATATTTACTCTATTACAAGAGCATCTCCAAAAGTAGCGTACTTAACACCTTACCCACTGATACCATTTTTATACTATTCAAATTTTAATACCATATTTACTCTATTACAAGAGCATCTCCAAAAGTAGCGTACTTAACACATCACCCACTGATACCATTTTTATACTATTCAAATTTTAATACCATATTTACTCTATTACAAGAGCATCTCCAAAAGTAGCGTACTTAACACATTACC